TCTCTGACCCCTCTCCACCCCACAGAGCCCTCAGCCACATACGAGATCAAACTCCAGGCCTTCAATGGGAACGGGGACGGGAACAGCAGCCTGCGCCTTGTCTCCCTGCAGGACAGCGTGCAGAAGCCAGGTGAGCCGAGGGCAGGGGGGCAAACACGGAGCAGAGAGTTCAGACTCCTGGGGTCTCGGCAGCCTGGGAGGAGCGGGACTCCTGGGTTCCCACCCCTGCTCTGTGCGGTGAGAGGGGCCTACAGGGCAGAGGGAGCCGAGTGCCAGGATGCCTGGGTTCTATACCGGCCGTGGCCCCTGCGCTGGGGCAGACGCTGTCTGGTCGCAGCACTGTGCCCGGGAAACACCAAGCACTCAGCTTTCTCCACAGACATGGACCCCGCGCGCCCTTGCCCCTGCAGCGTGGAGGGGGAGAGCTCGCTGGCTGGCATCGTGGTGGGTGTCCACATTGGCATGGCCTGCATCATCTTCTGCGTCCTCTTCCTCATGTTTGGATACCGCAAGAGGTGAGGGCCTGGCCCCCTGGCTGTCCAGCTGCAGACAGCGCTGGGGGCAACACCATTGGCCCATGGAAAGACCCAACACTTCTGTTCCTGCGCGACACCTCTCCCACCCCATGCCCTCTGCTGCAGACCTCCCAAAGCCGTGGGCCAGGGCCACCCTACCCATGGTCTGCAACCACATCCCCGACTGCTGTGGCCTTCCCTGGCCCCTGCTACCTCCCACCCCTTGCATTGCAGCCTTTTCTGCAGGAAAGGTGCCCAGAGCAGCTGGACAGTGCCACAGGGGGCTGAGCCGGGGCAGCCCGGCACCCGCGGGGCCAAACCTGCTGAGATGATCGAGCTGGTCACCCAGGTGAGAAGGGGGCAGGGGCAGCACCATAGAGGGCCCCGAGCCTCGAGGAGGGGGCAGGGGCTGCATCCTGGGCTCCGTGCTCCAAGTGAGGCTGGGACCCCCAGCCTTCCCCTGCCCTGACCCCCTCTCCCCCTGTCCTGTGCAGGCTGCCCCACACGTGGCGGTGACGGTGGAGCGGTGCCCAGCACAGCAGGTCACGGACTAGTGCATGCCTGAGGCAGGGCCACAGCGCTGCCGGCGCCTCCTGCAGACTCCAAAGAACCTACCTCAGCCCCCGGGCACCAGCCCCAGAGCTATTTTTGATACAGAAACCAAAACTACCTCGAGCCCCTGCCCCCCCACACTGCCAAACAGCCCTGGGGGCAGCATGGGCCCTGGGGGTCTCCTCCTGGGGGCACCCCCTGCCCCACAGTCCTTACACAGCAGCTGTCCCTGCGTGGCCACAGGGGGGAGGGCAAGGAAATGCCCCCCCCACCATGATACCAAATATCTCCAAGCCAAATAGGATTGGGCGCCCGATGCCGCCCCCCCTGCGCCCTGCAGCTTCCTCCAAAAGTCTGTCTCTATCCAAATACTTTCTCAAGCCACAGAAGCTGGAATGACCCCAAAGACTCAGAGCTTTAACCCCCACCCCCCATGCCCACCCCACGCTCTGCTTCCTGCCAAAAATACCCACCCCAATTAGGGCCCAGGATCGGGGCCCCGGTGCCAAAGGTGTCAGCTGTGAGCTCTGCCCCTCAACCCCCTCCGGGCAGCCCCTCGCTCCAGGCAGACACCAAGCAGGAGCCCCCCTGCACCCGAGCAGCAGGATCGGGGCCAGCCCCCTTCCCCCCAGCCCATGTGTGCGCAGTAGCTAGAAGCCACAGGTGCTTTCTAGGAAGACCCGGAGCCACCAGTGCCCCCTTGTCCCTCCCGTAGCGCCATAGGCGGCGATGCATTCCTGTAGTGGAGCCCAACCGAACTCACGTGCGAACGCTGCCCCTGCCCCCCCTAGGCCAGGCCGGGCCCCTGCCCCACAAGCCAAAGATGGGCCCGGCCTGGCCCCTAGGGAAGGCATCTAACCCAGCCCCATACCCGGCACCCCTGGGCAAGCTTTAAGGACCCCCAAAGTGAGGCTGGGAGATGCCCCGGCCCCTTCGGCCCCCCAGGCCGGGCTGAGGCAGCCGGGTGCAGGGTCCGCACCAGAGTCGCTTGCGACTGTGTTAGCAATAAACCAAGGTGGAAAAGGCCAGTTGGTGCCATGCGTCTGCTGGGGCTGGGGAGGGTGGCTGGGGTCTGGGGCTGCCCTGGGATGAGCACATGGGAGCCTGCAGGGGGAGGGGAAGGCTTCAGTGACCCCATTGGGCTCAGGGCCGACCCGGCCCTGTGGCCAGAAGGCCCATGCAAGCACTCACGGAGCATGGGCGACAGACCCTCGGTCCCCCAAACGGCTCAAGCCCAGACCCCCTGCCGGCTCGAGCTCAGCTCCTTGGTGCAAAAAAGCCAGAGGGGTGAGACCCCCAGCCCAGCCTCAAAGCAGGACCAGACGCCCTCCCTGCTCGGCTTGGCTCAGCCTGGCCCACCCGCCCCAGCCCAGACAGGACTGCAAACGCCATGCACCAGCCGCATGAAAAGTTATAAATCATTCCTTTCTTTATTAAACATAGCTTGCAAGTGATAAATATTACAAAGTTTTTTTTTTTTAATCCTTTCTCCAAAAATTAGCTTATTATTTTTATTCAGTCACTGCATAATCCCGCTGGCAGTATTTAAACAGCTTTGCTTTTTTTGTTGTTTTGTTTGTTTTTTTTGTGGGTTTTTTTTGTTTTTTCTTCTCGTTTGTTAAACCGGATGTCAAACACAATGCCAAAAAAAGGAAAAGAAATTAAACCCCCCAAATAATAATAATAATAATTAAAAAAAATTAAAAGTTGTGCAAAAGGGCCTGGTTTCCTGCGCCCCCCCCACGGACTCCGCTGCGGGGACCCCCATGCCCCTGGCAGGGATCGCAAGTTGCTCGGGGGCTGCAGGGCTGGGAGATGCTGCCGCTGCACTGAGCACGTGGGGCTGCGCCACGTGGTGGGAGAGGCTGTGCTGGGATGGGGTGTCTGCAGCCCCCGCCGGGACCCCCAGGCGTGGGGCAGACAACCTGGGGGAGCTGGGAGTGGGGCCTGGGGAGGATAAAAGCTTCCCTGAGGGGCCTGGAAGCCCATCCTGCAGCAGACGGGATGGCACCGCAATCACTTCCATGCTCTCTCGAGCTCTCGGCGCCACCAGCTGCCCCATGCCCCCGGCCCTTTCCGCACCCTGACCTGGCCCTGAAGAGGCCCCCCTGGCCCCAAACGCAGGTCCAAGTCCCCCAGCGCAGTGCACGCTGCCGGGATACATATGGCAGGACGCCGATGCCACCAGGGCAAGAGGGCACAACTGCCCCGCGCCACCAGGATTGGGGTGGGGGTGAGGGAAACAAAAGAGACCTTCCTGCCTCCGCTGCGCTGGGGGTGCTGGTTGCTGTAGGTCCTTGTGTGTGTGTGAAAGGCACAGATTTGGGAGGTGGCGTCGCCACCAGTGCATTGCTGCAGGCAGGGGTGAGGGGATCTGCCCCCTGGCATCTCTGTCCCCTGCAGCCACCTGCCCCCACCCCGCGGGAAACCACCCTTTTGCACGTTTCATGTCATACACGAGAGGTCACATTACAAAAGGACGCAACGACGGTCACAATACCCATGGCTAGGCTGTTCTGGCTTCGTTTTTCTACACAAATGTACAATTTTTTTTCTTTTTCTCTTTTAAATGTGTCAAGAAATAGCTTATATACATGAATGAGTCCTTGTTATAACATGTCGGCAGCAATATCATAAGCTAATTGTCAGGGGGCGATGAGGGGCGGGGAATGAAGGGATGGGGGGTTAGAGTAAGGAGGGGAGGGAGAGATGGGTTATGCCTCTGGAGGAACGGAGAACAAAAAATAAACCCCGATAAGCGTCTTCACAAGCGGCTTCTACACCTAGCTGTAAAAGAAAAGCTAAACGAAAGCAGGAAAAAAACCCTTATTTCTGTATCTAAAAA